TATATATATATATATATACACGTACACGTCACAGATACTGCTCAATAAGCTGAACCAAGTGATCGAGGAGAAGGAGGACATAACCGAGCGAGAAAAGGCGTTGGACGACGTACAAAGGATGATCGAATCGGTGCTAAGAGCGAGAACGAAGGACAATTACTCGGACGAGGAGATACCAGTGCCACCGAATCCACCAAACAGACTGGCGCCACGCTCTGGCAAACGTACCGCGATAAGCTGTGAGTATCGCTTTTTTTTTTTATCTGCCCAAATCTGACCGTCGTTTAGCTTAGATTCGAGCTGATGGACGAGACAGAGAGAGAGAGAGGATCTCCTCGATGAGAGACGAAAGCCCATCTTACGAACTTTGAAAGTATATTAACTGGTATGGTATACGTGCATCGCCTCTCGAAGAGTCCTCTCTGCCCTTTCTTCTGCGCCTCTGTCCATTGGCATCCGTGATTGAACGACTCGTGCTCGACAATTGAAATCGCGTCGCAGCGTAGAATTTCGTAGAACTAGCAAGAAACGACGAAGGAGAATCGAGAGGCGAACCAATCGATTGTGCCAATTGACTTTTGATTCACGCCGGTGACGTCACGACTCGCGCTGCCTGGTTGAAAAACAACGTTAGATCGTTCGATCGATCGATCGATCGATCCGTTCTAAATTAATATTCGGCGCCAGACGAATTTCGGATAATAATCGAATGAAATGGGCCGATTGCATCTGAAAACGACGACTCGACCAATATAACAATTGTCTTCCTTCTTTTCTTTCCGCTGTTTAGATATGACCTTGTGCCACTTCAAGATCTGCAACATGGGACGCAAGCGACAGTTGCACAAGTAAACCGGTCGCGACGAGCGAATCGGTTTCGCCGACGACGGCCAGGTCGAGAATGGTCGAGCCTCACGCGCGGTGCACCCTCTGCCTCGAAAAAACCTTCTCCCCCGCGTGCTGACGAGAAGAAACGACGAGAACAGAAGCTGCTGCATTCGGATGCGATCACCTGGATAACTGGATTCCGAGAACACACACTCTCTTTCTCTCTCTTACCGAGACTGACCGACAGACTTTCGCAATGAAATGACTTTGATCTTTTGACTGCGCTTGCACTTTCGAGATGCCCAGCGTGGTTCCCAGCGATTCGAGAATGAGTTATCAACTTTGTGAACTTCTTCGCATTTCTAACCTTAAAACTCGGGCTCGAATTTGTACGTTTTGAATTCATATCGGTATACCTTTGCGTTTCATTTCATGATAATTCGAATGGTCCAAGTAAATTATTTTTGTTTCAGTATTCTCTTTTCTTGTATATGTTTCGAAACTTTGTTTCATTTTATTTTACTTTTTTTTTTCTAACAATTTCTTCAAGGTACTTCAACTGTTCCTTCGTGCTTTCATTTTTTTTTTTCTTTCATAGATGTCATGTTCTTTGGAAGCTTGTCTCTAAACGTTGAAATTAATGAATGCTTTTTACGCTTCCTCCATGTGAAAGAATTCACGTTTTGAATAATAAGAATTATGTGTCATCGAGGCGAGACAAAAGGTTGGGAACCACTTATCCTCTTAGCTGTGCTGCCATTTTTAAAAAGTGTATATATATATATATATAT